TGTAGTGTATACTTACTAAGTCAATTTATTCACTTTTAAAAAATTCATTAACAGCCGGGCGCGGTGGCTCACGCCTGTAATCCTAGCACTTTGGGAGGCTGAGGCGGGCGGATCGCTCAAGGTCAGGAGTTCGAAACCAGCCTGAGCGAGACCCCGTCTCTACCAAAAATAGAAAGAAATTAATTGACCAACTAAAATATATATATATACAAAACATTAGCCGGGCATGGTGGCGCATGCCTGTAGTCCCAGCTACTCGGGAGGCTGAGGCAGGAGGATCGCTGAGCCCCGGAGATTGAGGTTGCTGTGAGCCAGGCTGACGCCACGGCACTCACTCTAGCCTGGGCAACAAAGTGAGACTCTGTCTCAAAAAAAAAAAAAAAATTCATTAACAGTGCTTTTTAACCACTTGGGCACGGCGCTCACCCGCCACGGACCCTCGCCTGCAGCCCACTCGCGTCCGCGTGGTGGCCTGCCCTGCGCGCTGATGACAGCCTGCCCTGCGCTAGTGTGACGAGGAAAGCTCGAAAGCACTGGAAGCTTGTTTCACTTCACAGGCAGCTTTCCTTGTCATGTCAATCAGAATAGGTGACGTATACATATATGTTTTCATTATGTTATTTTTTTTTATTTTTGAGACAGGGTCTTACTTTGTTGCCCCGGCTAGAGTGAGTGCCGTGGCGTCAGCCCAGCTCACAGCAACCTCAAACTCCTGGGCTCAAGCAATCCTACTCCCTCAGCCTCCCCAGTAGCTGGGACTACAGGCATGTGCCACCATGCCCGGCTAATTTTTTTCTATATATATTAGTTGGCCAATTAATTTCTTCTATTTATAGTAGAGACGGGGTCTCGCTCTTGCTCAGGTTGGTTTTGAACTCCTGAACTCAAATGATCTGCCCACCTCGGCCTCCCAGTGAGCTGGGATTACAGGCGTGAGCCACCGCGCCCAGCCTCATTATGTTATTTTTAAATGCTCACAATTTTATTCTGATAAATGAAAACTTAGAAAAGTCATATCACGGCTGTCGCCTAAAGTCAATGCTCGGCTGTGCGCTTTCATATCGCGGCTGTCGCCTAAAGTCACTGGGCTGTCAACTATAATTGACGCTCGTACTGAAGTGGTTAAACTCATATCATATGATACTGTGTTTCCTATCATCATACACTAATATAGAACTTCAATATTTTTGAGACAGGATCTTGCTCTGTCACCTAGGCTGGAGTGCAGTGGTGTCATCATAGCTCACAGCAGCCTCAAACTTCTGGGCTCAGGCAATCCTCCTTCCTTAGCCTCCTGAGTACCTGGGACTACACGTGTGCACCACCATTTCCAGCTAATTTTTCTATTTTTAGTAGAGATGGGGTCTCACTCTTGCTCAGGCTGGTCTTGAACTCCTAACCCCAACTGATCCTCCCACCTTAGCCTCCCAAAACGTTAGGATTACAGGCTTGAGCCACCGCATCTGGCCAACTTCAATATTTTTTTCCTCAGCAACAGTGCTGAACTTACCTGGCAGTCTTGGAGAGTCATTTGTCACCAAAACTTTGCAGAGCACTGACTCCAGGCGAAGCCCAGGAAAGTCCTGGCGGTAGAGAAATAAATGGACAAGGCCCTCCCTTCCATAAGCTCACTTGGCCAGTGTCTAATTCAACACACAGAGCAGGAGTGCAGATGGGTGACCAGCAGTCCTGGTTTGCCTGGGACTAGGGGGTTCCCAGGACACAGGAATTTCAGTTTTAATATTGGGAGAGTTGGCTGGGCATGGTGGCTCATGCCTGTAATCCTAGCACTCTGGGAGGCCGAGGCGGGAGGATCATTTAAGGTCAGGAGTTAGAGACCAGCCTGAGCAAGAGCAGGACCCTGTCTCTACTAAAAATAGAAAGAAATTAATTGGCCACCTAAAAATATATAGAAAAAATTAGCCGGGCATGGTGGCGCATGTCTGTAGTCCCAGCTACTCGGGAGGCTGAGGCAGGAGGATCCCTTGATCCCAGGACCTTGAGGTTGCTGTGAGCTAGGCTGAATCCAAGGCATTCTAGGCCAGGTGACAGAGTGAGACTCTGTCTCAAAATAATAATAATAATAATAATAAATAATAATAATGGGAGAGTCTTAGGCAAACTAGGCCAAGTAGATCACGTGAGGGTGTGGTGAGCAACGCGAAGGTGGTTTGATAATAATAGCACCTCACTATTTATAGCTCATTTTATAGCTGGTGTCGTCCTTATGACAAACCGGTGAGGTGGGTGAGACATCTGGCAATATTTTGATTTCACAAACTGGGAAACACAAACGGGGAGGTGCCCGCCCACGCTGCACTGTGCGGCCTGGCGGCTGCGTGAAGGCATCACTGGCCGCCGGCTGGGCCCGGACCCGTGCAGCCTCTCCCCAAGCCAGGCCCTTCTCGTGTAAACGAGACCACCTGTGTTTGGGATCTAGTCCACAGCACCTAGGCGGACTTGCTATCTTAGTTGGCAGATAAAACAGCAATACATTGGCTTTCCCTGGTGCCCTTTTCTGGATTCCAGAGCGACCATGAGGAGGTTTGCCCCTGCCCCACCTCGGCGTCCCCGAGTGCGTGACTGCGCACCAAGCTTCCTCCCCGTCAGGCCACAGTCAACCTCACGGCCCCTCTTTGACTTCACAGGCTCCACCTTCTCCCTAATTCAGAAAATTACTGGGTCTCATCCAGCTGATATCCCACTGCCTCCACGTTCAATGGCTGGAAGTGTCCCCCTTGGCCCTCAGAGGAGCTCCTCCCAAGACAGGAGCCCTCACTGCCGGCTCTCCAGTCCACGGAGCGCCAGTGCGTGAGGTGGGCACACTCAGCCTGCTGGGCTGGGCCCGCCATTCTCTTTAGCTTTGTCTCCTTCCTCAGGGCCCGTGGACTGGCATTCTGTCACGTGTCAGCCCCAGCAGGTGAGAACACTCCTGCTTATGCTCATTGTCTGTTGGCTGCCAATCCCCTTCCCCAGTCTGCATGGCAGAGGGGCTGGGAGCCCGTACCAGCGGCTTCCAAGTACTAGCTTATTAAGTAGGAAATGTCTGATTTCCTTAAGTACTAAGTTAGACAGTAGATAGCTCTGACATTTCACTTTGACACTTCTTGTTTTATGTTGTGTGAAGGTGCATCCTCAGTCTTTCAAATGCATGGCTTGGCTTGTGATTATCTTTCAAAAAATTTTCCAGAGTAATTTTTGTGAAACCATGGATAAATCAAAAATTCATGCTATTTTCGAATATGAGTTCCATCGCGTAACCAATGCAGTGCAGACAGCTCAAAATATCAACGAAGTGTTTGGGAAGGATGTAGCTAATGAACGCATAGTACACTGATGGTTTGGGAAGTTCTGTTCTGGTGATTTTAATCTTGAAAATGAGCCAGGTTGGCAACCTGAGACCAAGGTGAATAATGATGAACTGAAAGCCATAGTGGAAACGAATCCATCTCAACTCATGTGTGAATTAGCAGCGAGTTTTGATTACTATTCCAACAGTACTGGACCATTAAAACAAATGGGCAGGTAAAGAAGCTGGATAGATGGGTACTGCATAAATTAAATGAGCATTGGAAGAGAAACTGTCTCAAAGCTTGCCTTTCTTTGCTGTCATGACATAAAGGTGAAGCATTTCTACATCATATTGTTACATGTGATGAAAAATGGATTCTTTTTGACAATTGTAAGTGTTCAGCAAAATGGTTGGGTAAAGATGAAGTGCTGAAACACAGTCCAAACCTGAGTACTCACCACAAAAAGCTACTGGTGTCTGTCTGGTGGTCCAGCGCTGGTATCATCCACTACAGCTTCATGAAACCTGGTCAGTCGATGACAGCAGATGTCTCCTGCAACCAGCTGGATGAAATGATGAGGATGCTTGTGATTGAGTAGAGAGACTGGTCAAGAGAGACAGGCCAGTCCTCTTGCAAGACAACGCTCCACCATGTGTCATACAAACAACACTGCTCAAACTACAGCAGCTGGACTTGGAAACTCTGTGTCATCCACTGTATTCGCCAGACCTTGCACCAACTCACTACCACTTCTTCCAGGACCACTTCTTGCAAGGGAAAATATTCAATCCTCAACAAGCTATGGAAAATGACTTTTGTGATTTCATGGCCACTTGCTCTCCAGGTTTCTTTGTTGCTGGCATAAATGAACTACCATTAAGATGGCAAAACTATGTCACTAGTATAGGCAGATACTTTGATTAATTGTACTGCTTCCTGTTTGAGATATAATAAACTACACTTTCGATTCGAAATAGGACATTTCATATTTAATGACCTAATAGTTTCTGTTGGTAGGAAGCACAAGAGACTGGAAGGCAGTAAAGAGAGTTTCTGAACTCGGGGGGTGTTTCAGTGGCGGTGACAACAGGGACCAGCAGGCACACACTCCTGGGTCTGGTTTGGGCAGTGAGGCCTGCCAGGAGTGCCCTCGGCAGCCCAGTGGCCAGGACACCTCCGGCTCCTCCAGCCACTGTGCAGCTACAGCCTTCTGCCGTCGGTGTGCGGGCCACCTCACCTTCCTGCTCCCTCCTCCAGCAATTTCTGTAACCAGTCCCCTGAAGGAAACCCCTCTGTCTGAAGCACCTGGGCAGTTTCCGTTTCCCTGACTCTCCACTGACTGACATTGTTTTGGTGGCAGGAGTGACCTCCTGGGAAACAGTCCCTCAAAGCTGGGGACTTGGGATTGGGTATCTGCCCCACTGAACTGGAACACAGTAACAACCTCATTGTGGGGGGGGGGGGGAGTTCTCGGTGCTCAGTGGCAAAACTAGTACTTACAATACTGTCTATTTTAATTGCCTGAGTGATGAGTGTTTTCAAGGCAAAGCTTGAGAGACTGGATGCCTGTTGCCCTTGGTCACATCCCAGGGGTTGATACCTAGAAAGACTCAGTCTGGAGTGGGCTGGTGGCTTCTGACCACGCTGGAGAATCAGCAGAAAGTGACAAATTCAGCTCAAGGCATGGATAGAAAACCAGACTGCATCTTTGTAACCAGAAAAGAATCTCTTTAATATCTTGTAGCCATGACTGTTACAACTGCAAACATAACCCCAACCGTGCCCCGCAGGCTGCTAAGTCATAGCCCGAGCGGAATCCACAGCCTCACCGGATCTCTTATGTGACATTTAGGACATCAGTGTAGGAGTGGGGCCCTGAGAATAGCAAGGAGACGCTTAGGTGGACTTGCACAGATCTGAGACCCCTGAACTGGGACAAACAGTGTGCGTACGCGGTCAGAGGCTCCCCTGAGGTTCCTGCTCGCACCCCAGCCTCGGCCCCTCCCCGCGTAGGCCGTGCCCCTGCCGGCTGCAGGCAGCACCCCATCTCAGCTCCCTGAACGGCAGAGAAGGCGTTCGGAGTTTATCCGTGTGGCCTTCTGAGGCCACCTGCCACCCAGAGCAGACGTAAGACCTCACGACACAGGCTCGACACCGTCGTCTGGAGGGAACAGGACCTGGGTTTGCGTCCTGGTCCCCTCTGGCTGTGTGGGCTGCAGGCTGTGACTGCCCCCCCGCCTCAGTCTCGCTCTCCGCCTGTCAGACAGGCACCTCAGCACCGCCGATGGCAGGCGCGTGGAGGGCTTGGCAGCAGCTGTGTGGGCCCAAGTGGGAGGGAGAGGGAAACTCCCTTCCGGAGTCGGCTCCACCCCGGACAGCCAGGGCCTGGCCTGACTCCGGACTCTCGGGATCTCGTGTTCTGGGGACAGTAGCTTCCCCTGATGTGCCTGTGTGAACGCGAGGCCAGCCCTGCGCTGGGCCAGATATCCCCAGCAGAGAGACTTCGCTGGCCTGTCGCCACAGCCTGCTCCTAGGCAGCCTGCTCCACGGGAGGGGAGCCACCCAAGCTGGGCTGTGGCCCAGGGGGGCCTTGGACCCAGGAGGAGGCTGGAACGGTGGTGTGGGGCCCAGGCCAGCCCGGGAGGAACAGACAGGAAAGTCACCCAGACAGGGGCAGGGGGCCCGCTGCCACCAGCGCCCCGTGGGGAGACCTCAGCCAGGCCCTGGTGCTGCCTGGAGCCCTGCCCGCCTCACAGAAAAGTGGGGCTGTGGGACACCAGCGGCTCGCAGGGCTAACAGCCAGAGAGCTGCAGCCTGCGTGTCTCTTCTGGAAGAGTCCTGGGCCGCTGCACTAGGCCACACCTTTTATTGAAATGGATGCCATGCAGTCTGTTCAGAAGTTTGGAAAATAACAATGGGAGCTGGTCTAGAGACCAGCCGTGGCCCAGACCCCACCTGTAACAGGTCCTGAGTAGAAAAGGCACATGAGTTTCCACCTGTTTTGACCAGGCAAGAAACAGAAACCCACAGGGAGACCTGCAGGACAGCAGGAGGCCCACTGGGAGGAGCCGCCCCACCCCCACTCCCAGCGAATGTCCCCCTGCCTTGTCCTGCACGTGTCTTGACAAAGCGCAAGAACTGGCCCTGAGCAATCAGCCTCCCAACCAGGGGCTCCCAGAGCTTCAGGACAGAGCAGGGGTGAGGCTGGGTCACCAGGCAAATGGGGTAGCACCAGAGGACGGGCTGTGTTGGCCAAGGGTTGAGCTGGGAACTCCAGGGCAGGGTGTCTGTGGGGGGTCGCCCTGGGTAGATGTGGTTATTGCTGAGGCTCTGCTGGGGACCATGGGCCAGACCCCCTCACCCTAGTCCTGCTGAGCCCCTGGAGTGGGGCCAGTGGTACTTTAAGGTGGCCCAGGCCACACCTGCAGAGCTCAGGCCACGCCTGCTGAGGAAGTCCCAGCCGGATCCTGGCCTGCACAGGCCTCCAAACCCCACGTCTCCTGGCTCAAGTACTGAGTGTTGTATGAGCCGGTGGTGGGCAAGTCACCTGTCAGAGCACAGTGCTCAGAAACTCAGGTTTAGGCAGGGACGCAGTGGGGACAGGCTCAGTCCCTCCTGGTGCCACCTGGCTCTATCTGCTCCTCAGGGCCCATGCTAGCCCTCTGGGGCCTCCTGTGGTGAGGCTGGGAAGGCACTGGGCCACCTACCCTGCAGGCCACCGAGGGACACAGCCCCAGCCCACTGAGCCATGGGAGTCACGACAGATATGTGCTTGGACTTGCGGAGGGACGTGTAGATGGGAAGGATGCCTTGCCCATCTGTCTGCTTCAGCCCTTTGCAGACAGAGCTGTGGAGGATGGTCTTGGCTCCTAAGAATTCCTGGAGGTCAGAGCAGGAGCACTGGCATGCGGTAAGGGGCTGGGAGTGGGGGGTGCTCGGGATGGAACCACTGCTGGTCCACGGCTGTGACTCACACAGCAGGGCTCCGGGACGCCCATGGCAGGCTGTCAGGCCTCGACATGCACATCTCGCTGGTCCTGCGGCGAGGTGGGGAGGCTTTGTGCGCGGCATCGGGGATGGGCCCCTGAGCTGATGCAGCCGAGGAAAGAGAGAAGGGGGTCCTGGTGCCAAGACTAGGGGCAGTGTGGAGTTGAGTGGAAAATGCAAGCACGGGCTATGCAAGTGCCTGCCTCATGGAGTCAGGTAAAGGGAGGGGTCACCACAGCACCCAGTGCCTGCAGCACCCAGCCCTCCCTGAGGCCCTGCACTGGGGGAGGAAGACGGGGAGCCCCGTCAGCCTCTCCCTACACCCCCAGAGCCCAGCCTCAGATACCCCCAGAGGCCTGGGGGGGACACACCATCCCCAGGCATTGGTGTCAATGTCTCAGCTGCAAAGTGCCCGACTCCTGGGTCAGCCTCCAGAGCCACAGAGGGGCAGGAACAAATCTGACCCTTGTAGGGGGTGGGGCACAAGAGGTCAAGACCCTGAGCCCAAACTAACCCTCAGGGGAAGCGGCAGGGCCCCAGACAGGCTGGTCCCAGGGACATGAAGCATCCTGGGGCATCTCCTAGGCTCTACCCAGGAAGGCTGGTCTGGGCAAAAGCCTTGGGACCCGACAGGCAGCAAAGCACAAAGAGGACACTCTGGCATCTAGGGGCAGCGAAAGAAACCCTCCGGCTGAAATGTTCCTTCCTCTTGGGTGGCGAGAGCGGCTCTGGGAGGGCAGCCCCTCCCTCCCAGCCCAGGCGCAAGGCACCCTCGCAGCTTCGCGGTGGTCTCAGAGCTGCACCTGGCAGAGGGGGCACAGGGACAGCGGCCCATGGGCTGGGCCTCGCTTGCCTGCAGAGTGATGCGCAAGAGGCCAACAAGAGATGAGGATCACAAGGAGAGGAAAACCACCACCGTGCTCCCCCAGCCTGCCCACATGCCATATCCTGAGTGCATATGTTCATGCATGTTCACGTGTGTGTGAGCACAATGGAGCCTGGGCCGTGCTAAGTCACCGTGCTTCTCGGCTCTCCTGTCAGCGGGGGCCGCCCCAGGCTGTGGCTCCCACGCCAGGCACAGAAGTCCAAGGCAGAGGAGGGAGCACCACAGGTGGCAAGCAAGGCATGGCGCTGCCACCCTCAGATGTTGGCACACGAGGTTTCTTATTGCTCCTCTTGGCTTTGCGGAACACCCTCTTCATGTGCAGAAAGGACACGGGCCCAAGAGAGGTGGTGGCAGGGGCCCTACATCAGCCCTCCTGCTGATTGCTGGGCAGGGAACAGTGGCAGGACCCAGGCTGGCCTGGCCCTGTCCTGCCCACAGAAGGCCTCTCGACGCCACTGGTCGTCTCTGCAGAGCGGGAGCTGTTGGGACTGCCCGGCCTCCCCCGTCACCAGGCTGCCGCCCATCCTCAGCCAGAGGCCTCCAGGGGCCTGGATGTGGGGCCAGATGAGTGTCCTTATGAAAGTCACTCTGAGCCTGCTCCCAGTGGGTCCAGGCTCCTGAGGGCGGGCGGGCCCGGCAGGGAGTGCACGCCGTCGGCGGGTCAGGGCTGCAGCCGCTCCAGGTACTGTGGCAGAGGGTTCTCCTTGACGTACTTCTGGATGTACCAACACGTGAGGTGGGCCTTCAGGTCCTCCTCCACCACAAAGTCCAGGGCGGCCTGGGAGCCAGGGCAGAGAGGAGAGTGGTCGTCAGGGCCTGCAGCCTGCACCAGGGCCGGGGCCGCCCAGCCCAAGAAGGCGGCCCCATCGGCTCCCTCCCAGACCCAGGCCCCCATCGCCCTCCCACCGTGCCCAGGGCAGTCACCCCTGGGTTTCCTCCTTGGCAACCAGGGTAAGCCCCCAGACCAGCTCACAGGCTGGTCCTGTACAAAACGACAAGACACATCCCTCTGCCCAGGCGGGCACAGCCCCCGTGCCCCGTGGAGCGGAGGTGAGTGGGCGGGGAAGCCAGCAGAGGGCCCAGCTAAGCCCCAGGAGCAGGGCCCAGGGTCCTGAGGGCCGGTCCCTGTCGCAGTGGTGGTCCCTCGTTAAGCCTGAACCTGCTCTCCTGGCAGCCTGGGTTTGAGATGCTTTGGGGATGAAGGCGGTTGAGGGGTGGGAATAGGGCACGGGCCATATACTTGAACATTCCCATCCGTTCCATTTACTGAGCACCTATTACCCGGGTCAAGCACTGGGGCCCTGGGACAGGATCAGGCACTGACACACAGGAGGTGCGCGGGGACCCTGGTGGCTTCGCCACGCCAGGGCCCTGCAGAACAGGAGCCTGAGCCCAGAAGGGCCCAGAAAGGCTTCCACCAGCCCTGAGAGGAGCCGAGATCAAGAAGCAGGCCAGAGTCAGCCACTGGGGCTACTGTCTGCTCAGACTGGGAGGTGGTGGCCCCCAAGTCCCCTACCCACCGCCACCCTACCTTGGCAAGGTGCTTGGCGATGCCGCGCCCGCGGTAGGCGTCAGGGACCTCAGTGTGCTGCAGGTCCACGATCCGCTTGCCCACATACTCATAGAGCAGGACAGCCCGGTCATGACATCCTGGGGGGTTGTGGAGACAGGTGAGCCCATGGAGAGTCCAGGGGCCTGGGGTGCTTGGCCAGCCCAGGTACACAGTCCCCTGGGGCCAAGTGGACCCAGGTGCAGAGTTTGGGGAGGAGGGACAGGCATGGTGGAGCTGTTCAACTGCTGGAGTTGAATCCTGAATAACCTCTCTGTGCCTCAGTTTCCTCATCTGTAAAGTGGGGACATAACAAACTGCTCCTCATAGGGGTGGAGGATTAAATGAGACAGTCAGAGAGCGCCTAGAACACGAAGCCCCACACGAACCTGTGCTACAGCACCAGCCTCAGCAGCCAGGGCCCCACCGCCCGCCTGTACCCTGCTCTCTGTGCCCACCTGAGCCCCTCCCAGGATCTGGGAGTCCCAGGACCCAGCACTGGACAAGAGCAGGCCTCGAGGAGACCAGTGACGGCGCTACACGGTATGCGTCAGGCCCCCGTCACCTCTGGCCTGCTGTGGAGGCTCGGAGACCGCGACCGGAGTGCCTGGGAAACTGCACCCGCCCAGGCCTGCCAGGACGGGGCACCCCAGTCCACCCAACTCCTGTTGGACAAATAATTCTTCCAACCACAGTTTTTAATGCTCCATCTGTCTATCTGTCTGTCCACCTACTCCTGTATCCATCCATCCGTCCCCGCCCCCCGGCCATCCAGCAAACGTTCCAGGGGTCGGGTACGCAGCAACCGGCAAGCCAGACGAGGGCTCGCCTCGGGACACTGACCAGGAGGGAGGCAGACAAGAAGCATGGAAAGGAAGTGAATGTGCAGCGTGTCAGGGTCGGGGGCAGGGGTGTGGGGAATGCTGGGTGGGGGCCAGAGGCAGGAGGCAGGAGAGGGAGTCAGCCACGTGATGTCTGGGGAACAGCGCTCAAGGCAGAGGGACAGCCAGTACAAAGGCTCTGAGGCAGGAGTGGGCCTGTGTGGGGCAGGAAGGAGGGCAGGGGGCTGGAGTGGAGTCGGTGAGGGGCTGGAGGGGATGAGGGCAGGGAGGTGAAGGGGACAGGTCCCACAGAGCCTCCGAAGCCACCATGAGCTGGGTGCTGTGGGAGGGTCCTCAGCAAAGGGGTGGCTGAGGACCCTCCCACCCCTTGTGACTGCACAGGGTCCCTCGCTGCATGGGGAGCCCAGCGAGCAAAGACGGGCGCAGGGCGGGGTGGTGGGGCACGAGGAGTGTCCCACTCTGAGGGGTTCTGAAGGCGCAGGCAGCAGGACTTGCTGATGGCTTGGATGTGGTCAATGAGAGAAAGAAGAGGACAACTCTAGGGTTTCTGATTTCAGGGAGCGCCAGGTGGATGAAGGACATAAACCGGCGGTCAGGAGGGCAGAGCGCCAGGCCCTGGGGGAGCCTCTGGCTGGAAAGGGAGTGAGGAGCAGGAAGCAGGGCTGGGAGCGCAGGGAAGGATGGCAGGAGAACAGGCGGTGCAAAGGCCCGGAGGCAGGAAGACACTGTTAGCTGGCCATAAAAGAAACACCTCCATGCCAAGCGGCTTCCTTTACTTTTTAAAGTTCACTATATTATACGTTTTAACTTTAAAGCACCAGAGAACTTGCTCCTAAACATTGCGTGGGCTCCCAGCCTCTGCTGGCCACTGAGAGGGGAAGGCTGAAAGGCCCAGGGACCAAATGACCAGTCCAAGGTCACCAAGCAAAGCAGATACCAGAACTGGGTCCAAACCCAACTAGGAAGCTTTCTGGTCCTCAAGGTCTCTCATGAGTCCCCACACAGCTCCAGGAGAGAGCTCCCCATCGCACCATTTCCAGACAAGGAAATGCGATCGAGGCCCAGCCACCAGAGTTCCGCAGTGAGGATGGCACGCAGGTGTCCAGCCCCTGAGCCGAGTCTGTTCTCTGCCCCACGAAAGCATGCTCTCTGCTTCCTGCCCCTGCCTTTGCCTAGGCCATTCCTTCTGCCTGGAATGCGCTCCCCTTTTCTGCCAGGCCCAGCTGAGGGGGGCCCAGCCCCACCTCCTCCCCAGGCCTCCAGGCCCCTGGCACGTCCTGAAACCCAATGGCGGCCTCTGCTGCTGCCTGCCCCAGCTGCACAGCAAGGGACTTGGTTCCTGGCTCCACACCTGCTGGGGTCAGTTCAGCTCGCCCAGGACAGGCAAGCAGAGATCAGGAGGCTATTTTGGGACTGACCCAGTCACTGAGGAAACTGTCTGCCTGGCCTGGCCATTTGATTACCCCGACCCGCTGAGGCCCACTACACGCAGGCAGGGTGGGCAGCAGTGAGCAAAGCTGCCAAGGTCCTCCCTGCAGAGAGTCTAGTTCAGTGGGGGAGACAGGCCAAAAGTAGGGTCATCATAGCTAATGCAGGGCTTGCAGGTGACAAGCTGATGTGTGCTAAGGAGAACATGCAGCAGGGAAGGGCTGGGGCGCAGGGCAGATGCCACCATAAGGATGGAGCACAGGGAGGCCTCCCTGGGCAAAGACCTGAAGGAGCGAGGGACCCCAGAAATCTGGGCATGATCAGGCCAAGTGGCGAGGACGGCACACGCAAAGGCCCTGCGGTAGGACGTCCGAGGAACTGCAGAGAAGCTGGGGCTGCAGGGGTTGAGGGGAGAGCAGGAAGCTAAGCTGGGGGTCCCAGAGCCAGACCAGCAGGGCCTCGAAGGCCATGGAGAAGACTCAGAGGTGCCGCCGCAGCCTCTGCAGAGCCAGGGGTGGTGGAACATCCAGCCCACGAAAGCTTGCCCATGTCCCCTTCTCACACTTCACTCGTCCCTCAAGCTACGTTCCTGGGGCGGCCGCTTGGGCTGTGGGTGGACTTGACCCTCAGAGATTCTCTGCCTCCCCTACCAGTGGCCACCGGTGGTCACAAGGACTCAGTCACCACTGTAACCTGGCACCCAGCCCAGGGCAGACACCCGAGAAGTATTTGTTCGACTAACAGCTGCTGTCCTTCCCCCTGCCAGACATCCACTGGAGCCTGGAGGCAGACCTGGGCCACCAGCATGCGAGCCTCCCAGAGCAGCCCTAGGGTGCAGCAGGGTGGGACAGCTGTGGCTCCCGCCTGGGAGGCCCCACCTGGGGGCAGGGCCCTGCCCTGCTCCGCACATGGCAGTCCTCTCCGTGGGCACAACTCACTGCTCATGTTGCCACCCTGCAGCGGCCACCGGCTGCCTCTGTGGGCCGCCTCTCCACTCGGAGCCTCCCGGGAGCCCCTTATCACTCCCGGAGAGCCCAAATGCGCCTCCCTAGAGGGTCCTCTGACCACCCGTCGCCCCCATGATGGGACGGCCCCACCAGGGCAGCGCTACCTGCCACTCTCACCTCTGGGCACTGCGGCTACCACACCAGCATCCGGGCAGCTGGGCCCGTGGATGCTACTGTCTCAGCTCAGAGAGACTTGGTCACAGCCTCCTGGCCTGGCAGGACCCTGGGTTCAAGTCTTGCCTCTGCCAGGTGATCTCTGAATAGACCCAACACCTCTGTGCCCCAGAAACTTTACCTGTCCTGGGACAATTGCTACCCCTTTTTCCCAGGTCTGAGAATCACATTGAGATCATGGACCGTGACTAGTTTCAATACGAGTTAAAGCTACTTTGCTAATAGGGGCCCTTCCCTGGGTCACTCCACCCTCCCCAAAGGTGGAGGAAAGGGGGACATCACAGAGAAAGGCAAAAAGCCTGCAGGTGGGGAAGGGGAACAGGGATTTTGGAAGATGAGGAGTCTTTGCAAAAAGTGTCCACCTCCTCTGTTCTGCCCAAGTGGACCCAAGAGGAGGCCCAGTGCACAGATGAGGAGACTGAGGCAGTTGCGAAGCCAGAACCCAGGGCCTGGGAGGTGCTCCGCGAGTGGGAGCAGAGCAATCGGGCAGGCGCCAAGGCCCCTGGCTGGCTTGTGCCTGTGACTCCACGAGCAGAGCCTGGTTTGGGGAGGGGCCACACGCTGCGGGCTCAGAGGTGGGTTAGGCAGAGGGGCTGGAGCCTGGAGAAGCTCAACAGTAGGGCCCTTTCCCTCTGCACAGGACCCTGGTCTGGCCCAGCCGGACTCAGCAGGGGCCTCCTGGTGGGGCTGCACTCAGCCCTGCTGCCTCCAGGGGTGCTGTGGAGGCCAGGGGCAGCCACTGCCTCTCCCGGCCTCTGTCTTCCTGTTTGCAATATGGGGGCTGGGGATAATGCGCAAAGTTCCAGGAATCCGGAACTTCTGAGTGACAGTTCCCCTTGCACCCAGCAGGACACTCGGCTCTGACCGCGTGGACTGGGGAGGGAAGGCCAAGGAAGGGGCTGCTCAGGGCACCAGGGTCTCTTCCAGCTTCCCCAGCCTTCAGTGCCCACCATCAGTCAGATGGAGGCTGGGGGCTCCACTCTGGCTTAGCTGCCTGCTGGCTGTGTGCCTTGGTTTCCCCACCTAGTGACAAGCTGAAGTTTCAGAACCTGGATTTGGGGTCTGATAAGCCTTTTTCACACCTGCGCCCCATGCCAGCAAGCCCTGTCCGTACTGCCTTCCACGTCCGTCTGGAGCCTGGACGCGTCTCCCCGCACCTGCATGCACTGCCTGGACCAGAACAGCAGCCGCCTCCTGCTCGGTCCTGGCCACGCAGTCTGCACCCTCAGAACAGCCAGAGGCGCCTGGGCCGTCCCATCTGTCCTCTGTGCGGACCCCGGCCGGAGCCCAGACGCCCTCGTCCAGCACACACCAGTGCTGCAGGGCCCGCACTCTCGCTGCGCCCTCCACACGCACACTTTCCCTGCTGTAGTTGCTTCTTGCCTCCTTCACGTCTTGGCTTAAACATCACCTCCTGGGGAGGGGCCTCTCTGGACACCTGATTCTAAATGGCAGCCTGGTCTGACACTCCCTGCCCCTGCCCTGCCTCAACTCTGGCAGAGAGGCCTTTACAGCCTGCTATTTCCCATCCATCCCCCTCTAGACTGTCAGCCCCATGCGACCCTAGCACTGAGAAGAGCGCTTGGCACATCATAAGTGCTCAATTAGGTACTGGGGAACAAACCCCAGCTCTTCCGCCTTCACTTCCTGGTGCCTCAGTCTCCTCATTTGTAAATGGGAAGAGCAGTTTCCCATGTCCCTACCTATCATGGCTATAAGAGTGACTCCACATAATGGGGCTTCCAGAACACAAGTGCTTGATAAACACAGCTGCTCAAACATTTTCCCTCACTCAGAAACAGAGCTTGCAGGAAGACAGTCAGCCTAGCCTGCCACGGGGACGGCCGGGGCACACGCCTGCACCGGGAGCTGGGCTGGCTGGCCGCTCAGCCTCAGTGTCCGCCCCTAACAGTGGGCACATGGCACCGCCTCCAGGCTTGCCTGTGGTCAGGAGACGCACAGGCGCTCCTGTCCCAGCTCAGGCAGACCTGGGCCCAGACACACACCGTCCCTCCCTGGGCCCTACACACACTCAAACCCAGCGCAGCCTCAGAGGAGCCCACTCTGCGGTGTGCACCACCTCCCCTGGGGCCTCCAGACGCCCTCTTCTCCCCTGGGCTCCCCCACGCCAGCTCCCCTGGCCTGGGTTTGTAGACAGCCACCAGGTGGTAGGTTCGAGGGCAAGTTTAGAAATATGGCTGGGCACAACTGGCCCTGACCAGGAGGTTTTGCCCTTTGACTGTACCCATTCTGAAGAGAAAGAAAAAAAAAACCCAAATGTTTCCTTTTTCTTTCTCTCTCTGAGTCAAATGGGCCTCCTGAATCCCCAAGGGAACCAGAGACCACTCTGGAACCTCAGAAAAGAGGATGTGAAAAGCCATGAGGCCTCTCCCTCGAGACTGGACAGGGAGGGCCCCGCTGGTGCCACAGCAGCAGAGGGACCTGCTCCTATGTGGGAAGAACGTGGCCAGGGCCAGCCTGGCCCAGGCTGAAGTTCTGGTGAGGTTGGAAGTCACTTCCTGTGGTCTTAGCCTCAGTTTACTCATCTGCAATGTGGACTGCTGTGTCCCAATGTCACTGGGATGTTGTGACAGTCACATCCACAGGGCTGGATGTGTGGGGTCTGGCCCAACGTCCAGCACAGCCCAAGTGTGTCTGAGAAATGTCCAACCTGGGCCCCTTATGGCTGCAGCCCAGTTTGGGGTGCAAGAGCCCCATTCACGGAGTCAGACAGGCAGGTGCCTTCCCGCTCCGCTCCAGCCCAGGCTGCCCACACAGCAGCCTCTCAGGGCCGGATCAGTTTGGACATTCACGCAGGGGGCCCAGCTGGGAGGGGGTGGGAGACAGGGAGTTCATAATTCTAGTTCCTACCCCTCTGACCTCTTAAGAGAGGTGGGCTAGTCAAACTTCTTTACATGAAAGGAGGACTTGAGCTTGCTTTCTGGTTTAAAAGCAACGATCAGTCCACGTTTATCAGCACTCACTATGCGCCGCGGGAGCTGTTCCAGTCCCTCCCATTCGCCACAGCCGCGCACCGCACCACTAGCCGAGGCGCGTCTGCTGGCAAGCCACCGCAGAGACGGAGCGAAGAGGCGCAGGGGGGCGGGAAGCCGCCGCAGAGAGCAGCGGGCTCCGACGCGATACCCGCCACACCCGCCGCGCGCACAAGGCCCTGGCCGACGCCGCAGGTCTGCAGAGGGGCCCCTCCAACCTCCCGGGGCAGAGAAACGAAGGTGCCCAGGCTCGGGCTGACCGGCCCTCCAGGGCCTCAGACAGCAGCCTGGTGGGGGCCCGACCCCGAAACGGCCGCGCGAGCAGGTGCGGGTCCCCGCGGCGGAGGCCGCGCCCGGCTCCGGGTCGCCAGCTCCCGCCTCTCCGCCGCGCCCGCGGCGGCTCGCGACACCTGCCACGGCGCGGCGCGCGGGCCGGGTCCGCCGGCGGCGCGGCGCCGCTCGCTCGCAAACAAAAGGCGGGGGCGGGCCAGCGCCGCGTTACCGTTGAGCCGGACGGTGAACTGGCGGCGCCGGCGGTCGTGCTCCACGCGGATGGGGCAGCCCTGCTCCGGCGCGCCCGGCGGCACCGCGGCCGAGTGCGCCATCCGCGCCGGGCGAGGCCGCTCGTCGGCGCGGGGCGGCGCCGCGGGCGCGGGGCGCGGGGCGGCGGCCCGGCCTGGGAGACCGCGGGCGGCGGCGCCGAAACTGACACTCGGCGGCGGGAGCGGGAGCGGCAGCAACAAGAAAGGGGGGCAGGAAATCAGCTGTGAGGTCACGTGCGGCGCGCGGCCACTGGGCGCGCGGCCTTTCTGTTTTGATACATTCCAGGCCGCTCTTAAAGGGGCCGGCCCTGGCCGCCGCGGCCCTCTCGCGTTGTCCCACATGCAACTTTGGGGCCTCCACGCGGAGCCTTCTGAAAAAGGTGTAACGAAGCGTATGGAAATTCCCATCGTCCCCCTGGTAGACGCCACTTACTAAGCACTTGGTTGAGTGCGCTGCCTGTGCGCAGCGGGGCCCCGGTGCTCCGCAAGCGCCCAGTGAGGGCTCGCTGCGCCTTGTGAAAATTCTCACCACAACCCTGAGAAATACGTATGCGTGACGACACCTACAGATGAGCAAATAGAGGCCCGGGGCAGTTGAAAGACATGCGTGAGGTCACACGCAGCTGGGCCCCCGGGGCGGGGGGAGTGCTGCGGAGCGCGCCCTCGCCTGTGCACTTGGTCCTCCCGTATACACTGGACCCATCGCGTGTGCACTGGGCCCATACCACCGGCACTGGGTTCACTAGTGCGCTGCCCCCACCCCCTGCGCACTGCCCCCACCCCTTGCGCTGCCCCACCCCCTGCGCACTGCCCCGCCAGTGCCAGGGGTGGGACAGGCGCAAGGGTGGGGCAGTGCGCAGGGGGTGGGCAGTGCGCAGGGGTGGGTGCAGTGCGCCAGGGGTGGGCAGCGCAAGGGTGGGGGCAGTGCGCAGGGGGGGCAGTGCGCAGGGCGCACAGGGGTTGGGTAGTGCGCAGGGGGTGGGGCAGTGTGCAGGGGGTGGGCAGTCGAAGGGGGTGGGGCGGAGCTAGGGGGTGGGCAGCCACAAAGGGTG